CGCCGGGATGCCGGCAGGAGGCTCCTGCTGGCGTAGCCATGGCAACGCCAAGTAAATAAAGCACCTTTGCAACGGGAAAATTCGGTGGGGAACATTTGGTGGGGAACAGCCGTGGGGAGGGAGCTGCGATGGAGGGGAGCGAGAGGGACGAAACGGCCGGGGTGAGTGCAAGGAGCCCCCTTCCATCAAGGGCGAGGGTGCCTGTCGCGCTGCAGGGCAGCGTGCCCGTCCGGTTGGTGCCGAGGGATCTCTTGGGTCAAAGTCAAAGCCAAACGGTGAGGCAGTGCCGGGGAGCAGCTCTGGGCTGCCTGGCAGCTTCGGCCAGGCTATGGAGGGGATGCTGGGGCACCGCATCCTGCCACCGCTGCGCCCTCCAGCTCCCCCGTGCCTGGGGACCCTTGGGGGAGGCAAATGGGGGGGGAAAAATCCTTGTGCTTCCTCCCACGTAAATCTCTCTGGATTGCAAAAGCTTGGCACTCTCCCCCTACCACCGCATAGAGCGGGGCCTCGGGGCTGAAATGCAGTTGATGAAAGCGCTCGTGCAGATCGACTCGACAGAGCTTGTCTGTCTCATGTGGGGAGGGATCGTTGCTGGCGGGCGTGGGTAGAGGAGGGCTCCTTCCCAGCCGCGTTTGAAGCATGCGGGCCTTGGCATCTGGTCGGAGCCTGCCTGGCTGGCGGGAGCCTTGTTCCGCTCTGCTCACACCTGTGCTTTTTGTCTCTCTCTTCCCCCACCCTCCATTAGCTGCTGCTAGAAGAATACGCGAACAGCGACCCCAAACTGGCACTTACAGGCATCCCCATCGTCCAGTGGCCCAAGAGAGATAAGGTAGGAGCTGCGCGGTGGGACTTGGGTGGGTATCACACACGGTTGAGCTGATGAGACCTGCCCTCGGCTGAGTCGCCGCCTGCGGTGGCACCGCTTCCGTACCCGCCTCAGGACCCCGAGCCGGCGGGCAGAAAGGCAGCAGTACAGACGCAGGCTGTGGGGTGTAACCGCCTCCACAGCACCACGGGCAAACCCGTGTGTTGGCAGTGGTGGAGGTCTCCCACCCTGCCGGTTACCCCGGCTCAGCCGACGGGTGCTCAGCCCCAGCTGCTCCGTCTTCTCCTGCCCCTCGGTCGCGCTCAGAGGAGCTGGATCCTGCCACTGGTGGAAGGGGTGAGCCTCTCAACGGCAGCCCCCCAGCAGCTCCCTGGCTTGGCAAGGGAGTCCTGGGTGGTATGAGTAACGTTGTGTGTCAGGGGAACGTATTGCTATTGCGTTGCGCGAGAGATGGAGGGCGAGGCGTGGGGGCTGGTGATCAGCATCAACCCTGCCTGTTCAGCGGGCCGGCCGGCCCCTCACTGCTAGCTGAGCGCACCCCTCGGGTCCCTGCCCCTGCCAGCACCCTGCCCGTGCCCTGGCGCTGCCTCTTGCAACCCCACGGAAGGCAGCTCCCTCCTGGGGGTCTCCACCTGCATCCAGCTTCTCAGGAAAGGGACCTTTCAGTGCTCCCCTGCCCTTCCCTCTCCAGCTGTGCTCATAATCCACAGCCCAAAGCTGGGCCGCAGCCCGAGCTGAGCTCGCTGGGCAGATGGAGGCGAGGAGCAGCCTGCTGCTGGCCAGCCGGACTTCCCCTCCGCAGGCTGCCTTCCCGCGGCCCGCCAGGACGGCTCCCGTAGGTCACTGCTTCCTTCCTGCCAGGAGACGGGCTCACGGGCAGGCGTATGGGAAGAGCAGGACCCCATCGCACTGGGAAGGGTGGGTAACACCCCGTCTGGGTGTCTGGAGACAAACAAGCCTCTTGGATTGCCCTTTGGAGTTGCCTGCCCTGCCCGGGGGGATCTAGCGTGATTCCCTGGTCCTTCAGCAGCACAACCATCTCTGGCAGCTTTTTTTGGGAGAAGAGACCTGGAGACATCTGCACGCTTTGGATGCAGCACTCAGATGCTTGGCGCGTCCCCGACCCTGTCCTTGTGCTGGCTTTTTTGGGTGCCTGCACTTCCCCAAGCCCATCAGCTGTGGTGCACACGCCATCGCAGCCGATCCTGGAAGGATGCTGCAGCCAGCGTGTTTGCTGCGAGGGCTGCTGGCGTGCGTGGTTGCAGGTGTCTGCTGGAGGGCTGTGCTATCCCACCGGCGCTGTAAACAGGGGTGCTCAGGTGTTGCCAGTGCTCCTCGAGCTTGTGGGAAAGAGCGACCAGAGCACTCGCATCAGAGCTCAGCCCTGTCCCCTTGCGTAGCTCACAGAGGGAGACCTAGGTGGCATAGAGCCAGCCTTTCTGGCTGCCCGGGTGGACTTTGTCCTTCCTTGCCTCAGAAGGAAAGAGTTGGAGCACCGCAGTGCTTTTGGGGCTCAGCAGCCCTTTTCAGACCCACTTCTGACTGCTGATGGGCGGTGGGAGGAAGGAGAGCTCTTGGTGTGGGGTGGCAAAAGTTGGAGCATGCTCGAGGAGAGCCACCCGGGGCAGTGCTGGTACCAGTTCCTTTGTCCGCAGAGAGGCAAGGGAGCCAGGACCGCGCTCTGGCGCGTTATCGGAGGTCACAGCATGGAAGCTGGGGGTCAGAGGCCGTCTGATCTGAGCTGAATGCAGTGGTCTGCTCATCTCACGCAGCTTCTCTCTCTATTTCTGTTGCCAGCTGAAGCTCCAGGCCCGGCTGAGGGTGCGCCTGCCCACCATCCCCATCACCAAGCCACACACCATGAAGCCAACCCCTCGCCCAACGCCTGTCAGGCCTACAGTCTCTCCCATCGTGTCAGGAGCCAGGCGGAGGCGGGTGCGGTGCCGAAAATGCAAGGCTTGCATGCAGGGCGAGTGTGGCATGTGCCACTACTGCAGGGACATGAAGAAGTTTGGCGGGCCTGGCCGCATGAAGCAGTCCTGCGTCCTCCGGCAATGCTTAGCGGTGAGTCTGCAGCTTGATCCTTTTCTCAGAAGTCCACTGCAGCCTGGCAGCAGCTCTGTGTGGCCAATCAGGGTCAGAGAGGGGAGGGCAATGACCAAATTTGATTCCTGGGGGATAGTTGGCCCATTCCCTGTGATTCAGGCAATGGGGGCGGGGGGGGAGAGAAGGAGGAAAGCTGTACCGCTTTTCCCTGGTTTCACCCTTGCTTTCCTTTGTAGCCCAGGCTGCCTCACTCGGTCACGTGTGCACTTTGCGGGGAGGTGGATCAGAATGAAGACTCGCAGGACTTTGAGAAGAAGCTCATGGAGTGCTGCATCTGCAACGAGATTGTTCACCCTGGCTGCCTGCAGGTGAGCAGCGCGGGCGCCGGGGCAGAGGGGGCTTGGCTGTGGGGAAGGCCTGCTGCTGACTGCCCTCTTCTCTTTGCAGATGGATGGGGAGGGGCTGCTCAATGATGAGCTCCCTAACTGCTGGGAATGCCCCAAGTGCTACCAGGGTGACGACGCAGAGAAGGGCCAGGTAGGAGGCGAGCTGTGCCGTGGCAGGGCAGGGCGTGTGTCCTCCACCCCGCTGCATCCTGCTGAGGCATAGGCAGCGTTCCACCAGGCTGGGCTGGAGGGCGGGCAGGCAGGCACCAGCGCAGTCCAGGGGACCGGTTGGGCAGTGACTCGTGAGAGCAGGGGTCGTTGGGGGAGCAGAGCAGCAAAGCTCGGGGATCTGGCAGCATCCTGTGGGCAGACACTGCCCCAGCCCCATCCTGGGATCCTGCACGGGGGTGAGCTGACAGCCCCCTGCTCTGTCCCTGGCTCCCAGAGAGCCCGTCAGCAGGCCAAGGCCAGGCAGAAGCGGCAGGGGCAGCCGGGTTCCTCCGCCAGGCAGCGAGCAGACCGTGTGCGGCAGCTGCCCCGCTGGCGGCTGCCAGCGCTGCCCAGGACACCGGCCTACGGCTGCCGCGTCACCTGTAGGACCGTGCCCGCTGCGGTGGATGGAAGTGCAGCAGCGAAGGCAAGCCAGGCGGGGAGCAGCCACCCTGGGGCACCTTCACCTTCTCCTGGGTGCCGTGCATGCTTGGGATGCACGTCTGCCTGGTTCCTGGGTCTCCCAGCACTTCAAGCGGGTGTGATGAGCACCCCTTGTCCCCAGGGTGTCTTCTGCTGAGCTGGGATCCTGAGAGTTTCCACTGCAAGAGGCGGGGGACTGTTAGGCACAGAGCGGAAGCCACCCCCAACCTCAGGGGACACCCCTTTTGTGAAGGGGGACAGAAAATGTTGGTTGCTGGTGTGGGTGGACTCTGGTCCAGGCCCTGCCAGCACCGTGCGTGTTGCCCTGGGGAAGAGGAGAGGGGGGGATGCGTTCCCCAGGCCCGCCGTGGCTCCTTCCCCGGCTAACCTGCCACCCCGCTTCCCCGCAGAAGCGGAAGGGGGAGGAGAGCGACGACGACACGGCGCAAGCCAA